GAGTAAATACACCCAATTTAGAACTTCGATGCAACTCAAGAATCTGAAACAATATTTTCATTTATTTAATTTTTCTAGTTTTTCGTATTCAAATCCGTTTATTCCTACCGGCCATATAAACCTTCCCTGGGTTCATAGGGTCCTAACATTTTGTCCCCGATCGTGCCGTTTTGAAATTTGTTAAATTCAAACAAACCAACAATCATTCAGTGATAACCAGAAAACTCTGTAATAGGAATTCGACTTTTAAACTTAAAATATGACTTTTAATAGCGCATTTAACATTAGTCAAAGCAAATGTGCAGTGTAAACAGACCTATTTTACTTAATGAGTAATTATATAACTTTCAAGTCAAGCTTTAAACAACATCTTATCCACAGTTTTCTGGTTATGACTGTACAAGCCAAATATACAAATATATATACATATATGTACAGGGTGTCCCAAAAAAACGATATTTAAGACATTGTAGCACTCACTATGGTTCAATTTTTAAAAACTTGTACATTTTTGAAATCTTTGTAACATTTCTGATCGATTGAAACCAGTAAGAGGTGCAAAGCACTAAAATGAATAAAGTATTGACCGTTTGAAGTTTGCCATTTAGGCTGGGTTGAAAATCCAGGTACAAAACTGTATCCTTCTTGGTAATTCTTCAGGTTTAAGTTTTTCCCTTCTGATTGGCCAATATGGGTGATATTTCATATTACTTGCTATCCTTGACCTAGCTGGACTTGCCTAACATCAAAGAGTTTCTTCTTGCAGAACTCACAATAAAAGTATTTCTAGCTCCAATTGGCTTGACAGCATCTCTGTTCATTACTGCAGCAACCCTGACAACATTTCTAGGAGTTCTGGGATGTCAGGATCTTCCACTCAGTGTATTTCCAGGACTCGTCTTACTATTCACATTGAGTACTGTCTCTTACTCCATTACCTTTTTATAAATTCTTCTTTCATGACATAAAGCAGGCTGTCTTGCAGTTGGAAATTTGCGCCCAAAGTCCATAATAAGACCAGGCATAACCTGTGGTACTCAAAAGCAAGGAATTATTACTTTCCTGTGTTGTAAACTGAAGTCTTGCCATTACTTAACAATAACTGCATTTTTAAGATTTGTTTAAAAGATTTGCATATTTTTCAGACCCTAATAAGATTCCATAATATGTTTAAAATTCTAAAAAAATAATATATGAACTCAACCCAGCCAAAATGACAAACTTTAAACGGTCAATACTTCCTTAATTTTAGTGCTACATACCTCTCATTGATATTAATCGATCGGAATTGTTCCAAAGATTTCAAAAATGTACACTTTTTAAAAATTGAACCATAGTGAGTGCTACAATGTCTTAAAGATCGTTTTTTTTGGGACACCCTGTATATATATATACTTTGCTTGTCTATTTGTGAATCTGTTTGTTTGTATCCAATAAATGTCCAAAGGGCTGAACCGATCGGGTTAAAATTTTTTGGGAAGGTTCACGAATGATCAAAACTTCAAACATTTGCCTCCAACAAAATTCTATTTTTAATAAATTTTTAACATTTTGAAAATCCACGAAATTTTTTTATGACATTTTCGAAATTTTTTGGTTTTGTTTTACACTTTTCGTAAAGAGAACATGTTCACAATTAAAATAGAAAATGGGCGCAGCCTAGTTCATATATAAATATATATACGTACATATATGTAGATCTGTGTTGTCAACATTTCAATTTTTTTCTGAATTTTGTGAAAGGCGTTATAGAATATCGAAAATCTGTAAAGAAAATTCAAAAGTTTAAATATTTAAAGTTTAGATAAATTGAAAATTCTTAAGATATATATATTTTCAAAAAGCTCAAAATGAATATCAAAACTTGTGTCATATGTTCAGATAGCTCTAGTAATTTAAAAGTAATGGGTTCTTTATTGTATTATTGTAAAGAAATAGCAAATTATTCTTCATTAAAAAAAATCAATATTGCTAAGTACGCTACGGGTAGTGTATACGGAGCGCCCCCCCCCCTCTCCGCGCGGACTATTGCCTTTATAGGAAAGAACGATATAAAATAATTCATTTTACTTTGATTGAAGTGAGTACTGAGTACAAAGCCCTTTCTCTAGTTTTAGTATGGAGTTCTGATGTACGAAGTTATTTAGGGCTGGACGTCGTTAACGGGGAACTATAGTTTTTTTAAACATGTTAGATTTTTTGTTAACAACCACAGCGTTCAGAACACTTTTGGAACAATTAGGACGGTTAAGAATTAACAAACGAGGAACGAACGGATTTAATTTTGAACATTTTTAAAAAGAAATATCTTTACATGTTAACAACCTAAAACTTTAACAATCACACATCATTTAGTATAAAATATTGTAAACGATCAAACATCGTTAAGGACATGAACGTTCGCGAACGGTTTAATCCAAGGACAAATCGTTAATAACGAAAACAAAACTAAAATTTTTGAAACGGAACGATTTTGAAAGAAAAGAGGCAAACGAGGACTGGTTGTACGATCCAGCTAAAGGTTCTCGTAAACGACCGTGGAAAAAAAACGATTTTAAAATCATAAAAGCATTCAGTCCAAATAATCCTGACATAAACTTCAACAAACATCTTTAAAGCAAAATAGAATACTTTCCACATTAAAACCATAAAATTTTAAATCTAAATATATGTATATCAAAGTAAATTTATTCGGTGCTTTTCCTTGGCATTTTGTTGTAATTAAAAATTGAAATTAAAAAGAACATAAACGTTATAAACTAAAGGAGCACAGTTATACATGCATATTGCATAACAGTTATAAACTAAAGGAGCACAGTTATACATGCATATTGCATAACAGTTATAAACTAAGCACAGTTATACATGCATATTGCATAACAGTTATAAACTAAAGGAACACAGTTGTACAAGCATATTGCATAATAGTTATAAGATAAGGCAGGTTTAACAACTATTAGTTTCTGGGTACGAAAATTGCACTTGAGATTAAAATCTTACTTGTTTTCAATCATAACTCATCTATAGTTGAAGAGCTATTTAAAAGATCGAAAACGTTTTGAATTTCTATAATTCAACTAGATATATTTGTTTTTATCAGTTTTATGCGTAAAATCGAGGATTTACGAGGTCACAATGTCGTACCAGCAATGTTGCAAACATTTTAGATTCTCTTTGTTTTAGTTCATTTATATAGCTATGAGAAAGTTGTGTGGTTCAAGTTAAAATAACTGTTGTTTTTTTCAACAGCTCTCCCCGCAACTTGGAACACAAAAAGATAGTAAAAAAGTTTTTCAATTGAAGAGAGGCAAATAAGGAAAATACAAGTAGTGGTATTTTAGTACTAGGGGGAATTCTTAGAGAAGGGGAATTTCGGGAATATTGAGAAAACTATTTTTTTTTAAAGAAATAAACAAGAAAAAACTATCATGGTTCGTTTTGCCTTTCTTCCTGGCAAGGTTGTATAATAAGGTTGGTTAATTTCGATACGCTTTATGTACGGAAAATGTCGTCTCCTAAGAAAGAGAAATACAAACCTCATATAACGTCACTCTCGCCTCTAAATTCAGTGACGTCATATGAGGATGTTATCTATCTTAGGAGACGACATGTTTCGTACACTGGAGCGCAATGATGGTAACTTTATATTTGATAGGTTTCCAAAATTTTCAGATAAAAAATAACGGGAACAATGCAAACCACTGACAACCATGACTAAAATTTTATACGCTATGAAAACGATGTCTGTAGCATAAATCTTTGAAGAGAACCCATATTTGAATATTCAATTTTCAAAAAGTAAAACATGATCTCAATAGTTCTTGAAGGACACATAAAATCATTTCTACAATCCTCTAAAAATATTAATTAAAAAACCTGTTTTAAATATTATATATTAATTAATACTTTGTTTAAAAATTATCAAACTTTGAAAAAGAATTCGTCTTCTATGAAATCTAAGTTTTTAATTGTATTTACTTGGAAGTTATACTATATAATTAGCACCGCAAGAAATTCCCAATAAAATTGATTAAACCCATGAATCTATTTTCGTTAGAATTCCAAAATGTAAAAATCAATTTATCAGAATGTAGAAGAGATTTTATTTTAATTAAAAGTTTAGACAAGTAAAGGGAAAAGAAGCAGAACTTTTCCTTTGGCTAATTTTTTCTAATTCTGTGGTGGCTGGTTGGGAGGTGCTTTTTAGAAAGCTTTGACATAAGGAAACGGATTGCACAAGTTTTGCAGAGACATTTTTGCAAATTATTTGCATACAACCCGTCAAAAGAAATTTGCACATTTTTAGTTTTTATTTATTGCACATCAAGTTATCTTAAATTTTGCAAATATTTTTGCATATTTGAAATTGCATGGTCAAGGGCTTTTCAAAATGTATATTTATAATTTTTTGGAGTTTTTTTTGAAAAAATTGTTACCAAATAACTAGATTTTGCCAAAAAAATTAAATTTTTGCAAATTTGCAATTTTTTTCAGATTCTAAAAGTAGAGCATAAGATCTTTCCAGTGATGTATCATTTGTCATATTTAGACATCAAACATGGGAGGGGGGGAGGTCAAATTGACCCCCCCTCCCCACCCCCCAGCGTATCCTGGTTTTCAAGTACCCCAGCAGGGATAGGGTTAAAATATCTCGTCAATTACGCGTAAAAATCAGTAAAATTGAAGTGTACGCTAGCGTACTCTGTTAACCTAATACGGATGCCGTCACAATTATTCCTGGAAAATATAGAATATTGGTTACCGATGTGAATCGGGGACACACTGTTTTAAATACAAGGTCACTTGAGATTACGCTTACACTCCCTTTAAATACAAGGTTACTTGAGATTACGCGTGCAGTCCCTTTAAATACAAGGTCACTTGAGATTACGCGTACAGTCCCTTTAAATACAAGGTCACTTGAGATTACGCGTACACTCCCTTTAAAACAATATGATGGTAATGCACAAGCAGAAACAGAAGTAGTTTATTTATTCTAGATTAAACATGTTCTAGAAGAAGAAGATGAAGGAGAAAAGACAGAAACAATTATGAAAACAGAGACAAATGATTCTTTACAACAATTGTCCGACACAAATAAATAAATAACAAAAGTAAGAAAACAATTGATTTTTTTTTAATCTTTCTCTAAGCCTGATATTTTACCAAAAAGACGTATTCAAAGCATTAAAAACTGGAAAGTTGTAATCTAAGGCATTATAAATACATTTTGTACATTTTGATTAACAAACATGGTAATCAACATACAGAAAATTCTTTTGTATGAACATCCTGTTCATGTATTTGTAAGTTGATTTATTGGTTGATTTTGATTGTTTAGTTGATTGATTAGCTAATGGTTTAGTTCATTGATTAGTTGATTGTTTAGTTGATTGATTAGTTGATTGTTTAGTTCATTGATTAGTTGATTGTTTAGTTGATTGATTAGCTGATTGTTTAGTTCATTGATTAGTTGATTGATTAGTGGATTGTTTAGTTAATTGATTAGTTGATTGTTTCGTTGCTTGATTAGTTGATTAATTAGGTGGTAGATTAGTTGATTGTTTAGTTGATTGATTAGTTGATTGTTTAGTTGATTGATTAGCTGATTGATTAGTTGATTGGTTATTATAATTTTAGTCTGTTAGAATGCTGCTGAGACTAAACTAGTTTTTATTGTCGGCTGGAGAGGAATGAAACTGCTGTTTCTAGGAATCCATGAAATTAAAAAAAAAATTTAACGTTAAAGTGAATTTTTAAATCTTTTTTAAAAGAACTATCTTATTTTTAATCTTCTTGTAAAGGAAATTCAACATTCATTATTTCTTTATTTTTGCAACCTGCTGAAATAAAGTTTTTTATTGTCAAACTTTGGCTATATAAGACTTGAAATATCAAAGATCCAGAAAATTAGGTAGCAAATTTAAATTCATCGGTTTATTTGGGCTGTTGACAGTTATCTTCTAAACCTGAGAATTGAGATAGATACTGCTCAAATTTCATACACCCAAATGTTGTATAAATCTACTGACAAATTAAAGTAATTTTTAAAATGAAACATTTATGAAAGAATTTTATTTAAAAATGTCTAATAAAGATATTCCTGAACCCTTGAATTTAAAAGTTTAGGCCCTCTAAACTCTCAACAATTTAACAAATTTCAACAAACTTAACAATCCGAACATTAAGAATGTTTATCATGCCTTCACTAGTTTGTGAAACAATCATTCTTTCAGGACTCTCATCGGAGTACTTTGTTACCATAGAACTATCAGAGTCCTGTATTACCAGAGTACTATCAGAGTCCTGTATTACCAAAGCACTATCAGAGTCATGTATTACCAAAGCACTATCAGAGTCATGTATTAACATTCCAAACTCTAAAAAAAAGGCAAAAAAATATTTTTATTTTTAATATAAAATCTATTTTTGAATATTATTTTATTTCATGTTCTATTTATTCAGTAATGCTCTCCCATTTTGTGTTTAAGAAAGGTAAGTTTGTTTCTCTAAGTTTGTTTGGACAGTGCCTCCCTAGAGCTTTGAAGGAAAAGGTCTGGTGTTCAGTTTAATAATGTGATTACTTCTCTTTTTTCTTCAATTTAGGATTGGTCGAACGTTTCACGTAGTCTGGGCCGAGAAAATTCAATTTATACTTGACATGAATAAATACAAATATAAGGGATATTTGTTTTAGATTTTTGACCAAATATTTTTGTAAGTAGATGTTTTAATCATAAATGATTTACAAAGTCAATTCAAAAACAAATTCAAAACAATTATACAATTATAATTTAGATTGGTTTTATAACAAAACAAGATTTATCATCACGTGTAGTATTATAATTTAGATTTGTTTTATAACAAAACAAGATTTAACATCATATGTAGTATTATTATTTAGATTTGTTTTATAACAAAACAAGATTTAACATCACGTGATAGTATTATAATTTAGATTT